ATATAGCTACGGCCAACTGCTGTAGCAAAATTTTATGTAAATATTTTTAAAGGCTTTTCAAAATATATTTCTTAAAGTGTCTAAATGATAAGATGATATATTATCATTACTTACAAATATAATCTTTCCACGATTGAATCAAATATCAGTAATATATGGTCTCTCTAATGTATCTCTCAATTCAAATTATATGAAATTAAAATGAAATTTTTTCGTTACTTTAAAGCTCTAATATATTTTTATACTTTTGATAATTTGTGATGTGTTATGTATTATGTGAATTGTAATTATGAATGATGAAATTAGATACTGAGAATCGAATTTACACTCAAAGCAGAAATGCTTTTTACTGCTAATTATAGTCAAAATATTACATAATAATATAATGGAAATATATAAATGGATATGAAATAAATTACTTTGATTGTAAGTACTTAATTTTTGTGAAAATGAATTTGACAATTTTGAGAAAATGAAAGTTCATCTGCATTCAACATGATTTTAAATTGAAAAAAAAAAAAAATATATATATATATATATATATATTATTTCCCTATTTCAAAGAAGGATCGTCTCGTTGATATTTAAAGAATATTATCGGTATATCACTAAGACGTCTTTATATTCGAAATATCTAAATTGTAATAATTGTCTTAAATTAAAATTAAAGGACGATCTCGTATAATTTTCAATTTAATTTTACCGATTATTGCATGATTACGCTCTCTAGAATGTAAAATTGACATCGTTCGTTTCCATTAGACATAAAATGTAACGTCTATGTATGAGTTTGTCTCGTATTTATAAAATATCGATAATCTGCGTAAAACAAAAATTAATGTTTATACAAAAAGACTGCACTTGTATAGAGACAGTTGTACTACTACTTAAATACCATATTTTTATTGTCTTTCACTTAATTGGCAGATCTTAGCAAAAAGTAATTATCTAATAATTTGATAATAATAAAAACGTAATAAATTCGAAAATATTGTCAATTTAATTTCAATGATAATAAAAAGAAACTCGAATGGCTTATTCGGGTTAATGAGTTGCACACTCGTGCAAATAGAGAGTAGGCTCGATATATGAGGTCTGCTCTCCTCTGAAACTCGAGCACGAACTGTCCTCAGGTCGCTTTGCTACCGAGCAGGAACGAGGATACGCAGTCATAAATCGAAAGATAGCAAAAATTGAACTATTATATGCTCCGATAGTTATAAGCATCTGCGTCGCAGATGCTTCATATTTTTAATTATTATATGATCATAAAAGCTAAGTATAAGCGTTGGTAGTTGAAGTGGTAAGCTTCCAACACACTTTTATTACTTTATGTCTCCCGGAATTTTCTAGACAATCTGTTAATCTGTGCTGCCTAGAAGTTCATTAGTAGTCTGTAGTTTTATAAATATACGTTTGTACTGCTTATGTTGCAAATGTTTCAACGCTCCTATATTGAAAATGTTCGTAATGTTGTAATAAATATAATATAGATAATAAAGGATTGTATTGAGAATTTCGAGAATATTTAATTTTCTGGTACGGATAGATCAAATTAAACGCTTTTAATCGATATGACGATTTATAATAAAAAAAAAAAAAAAAAAAAAGCCACTTACCATATTTTTACTTATACAAGCAACCACCTACAAAGTGTTGCATAAATACAATTTTTAATATTTTTTTCTTTAATTTATCGTAAGCTCCTGAATAATACATATAATATTTTTTCGTGACAAACATGGTTCTACGCAAATACATATTCTTTAAATGTTGAATCAACATTCAAGAGAACTTCGAATGAATAACATACCTGAAATACTGTTAAATGTACGCATGAAATTGCCATACATTTTAAAGAGAAAAAAATATAAATACACAATTTGTAATTACAGCACATATTTACCGAACTCTTTATATTATTTAGAACTCATTATAAACTACATTGTATTTATTTGAAAAGAAACATATTAAAGAGGCTATCTACATAAGTAGATAAATAGTTAAAAAAACTTTTTCAAAATGCATATCGAAGTTGCAATATAAGTATGTAAATGCATGCACATACATGCCTAATGAGACCCAAAAATGCCTTAATATTTTTATTAAAAATTGTGATTCATTTTTTATATTAGTTAGTGGTTTTGTCTTCAACATAATTCGAAAAATTTGAATAAATTGAAATTTATGAATTGTTACTGTGATGCGGAATTTCCTAATTCGATAAGTAATAATAATTATTAAGTAAAATTTTCAACTTATATAAATAGATAGAGATTAATCTTGAATAAAATCATACACAATAATCAGGATTTTCATAATACGTAATGTGAATTATTGATATAATGACTTGTTTGAAAATTGTATTCTATTCCACTTTACTCTAATCAAATATCATATAAATCACAAATTATAAAATCTTACATAATTTTAAAACTTCCTCAATAATAATGATGTGTTTGAAGAGTAATTAATTTTTAATTTATGTTCAATGCACTTCTTCAACTGCCTCTAATTCCTAAAGTGATTTTCAGAAAAGCAATTAATTATTAAATAGTTAGTATTTAACAAATTTCGAATACTTAAAAATAATCATTATTTAAAAGTATAATATAATTTATTTTATCGTTTAAGAAAATATTAGCCATACAAAGTATTATATTTTCATAATATATATTCGTAATAGTAAATAAGAGCTAACTTATTCATGGGTCCATTAACAGGTTATATATTATAAACAATAAAAAAAAAAAAATTCGGTATTAACTGAGTATTTGATACACTATACAAAGTTCGTGGATAAATCATTATGAATGTTTCATAGATTTAAATTTCTCAATAATGTTCTATATTTATATATATATATATACTAAATATTAACGGATTTAATTAAAAAAGAGCTTTTCGAGTTATACGACTTGTTTGTACATATTTCAATTCAGACGTCAGTCGGTAGCGAATGACCTGTTTAAGCCGAAACTGTTGAACTCACTTATGGTCTCTATCTTACAAAATAATTTATTTTACTAATTCGAAATAATGGCCAATGTATGAACACGTGCATCCTTATGTTACGTTAAGGGAGTCTTTTGGTATTAGATCAATAACATTGCTCGACTCGAAAAAGCAACGACCACTTTCGGATATTTTTTCTTGTGGTTACATATGCCTATAATAATAGTAGAAATAACAATATAATACATTTAATAAATAAATTTATTAATATGATAAATAATCATCGTATGCTTTATTGTTGGTTTAAGAAAAACTTAAAATTTCATATTTTGATGTTCTTAATTCCATCGTTATCTCAATTAAATACATTTGATCTCTTAATATTTCAATATGTATTTCTAATAACCATTTTATTAGGTTGGATAATAATGCAAAAAAAAAATGTCACATGAATAATATGATCTAAATATCATTACTATTAATGAAATTACAATTCCAAAAACTTGTTCAAATTTTTAACAAATACAAGAATTAACATGTTTATATAATTTATGTAACAACATATATATTATTAGTATCATATCCTATATTTGTTTTATATATTATTATTCTAATTAAATGATATTCATAGTAAATAATAAACACATATTTACGTATAACATTCATTTTTCCATTTTTATATATAAATTAATACGTGCTAACCTGTATGTTAGAATTTTCTCATAAGCGTTAGGAAATCTATACAACTATAATAAACTATTTACACCAAAACATCTACTATTGATATACACTATTCATTGATTTCATCATATACTATATTTATTAATATTTGATTTTATATTTTATTTTATAGCATGTAATATATTCATTTTTAATCTTATACAATATATATATATATATATATATATATATATATATATATATGCATCATAAAATATACATGAGCATTGAGAGTATTTCGACATAGTTGAATCATATAATGCATGTTTTCACAGTATTAGACGTAAAACTATATACTTAAGTACATAATTTATATGGTTTTTAAATTTATACAGTTAATACTTACTATAATACGTATATAATAATAATAATTATATAAGTTATATATTTTTCATGAGCTCCTTGGATCCAATGAGCTCTAAGCGTCCATTATTCGGATATTGTTTCAAAATATTTTACAACGCGATACCCAACAAGGTATCAGATTATATACGTTTATCTGATTCCTTCATTATCAGTTGCCGAAAAGAATATATACAAATATAAATAAAACACATATTAGATACTTTGATTTGTAAATATGCGAATAGCTAAATGTAAAACAATGTTCTAATTGTGATTTATTTTTTATGATATTTAACATGCTCAGTGTTATACGACTTTCGATCAAAACATTTTACAAAATATAGTAAATTTTTGTTCTTACATATTTTTAATTCACATATTTTAATCTATGTAACTATGTAATTGAATTAATTTTTCATCGTATAAAAAACTTTTCCTTTTGAAAACTTCGAAATTGCTTATTTTATCTTGCGGAGTACATTCATGCTTACAAAACTTTATTGATCCAATATTCGCGTACACTATTAGGCAAATTAATTTATTCAAATTTTATATACATATTGATGGAAAAAAAAAAAAAAAAAAAAAAAAAAAAAAAAAAAGAACAATCAATTGATGTTAATTGAATTTTAACATAGTATTCTATTAAAGTATTTTTTATGTTTCTATCTGCAATACATAATCATTTTTGTCAAATAATCTACATATTTGCGTGCCAGTGTGTATACTCGACAAATAAAATTATATAAAATTTATTATTACCTTTCCAATCAGCAAATACATAACAACATATTAATCCAATATTTGCATAATATGGCTGTAAATAGAAATAGAATTTTTGAAAATTTTTATTTTTGTTTACATGCTTGCATTATTTCTATTATTTTATTATAATTCTTTTTATTATAATTATAAGCATCTCGCACGTTTGCTTGCATGTTCTCACTTTTTTCTTTCGTTTTTGTTTTGTTGATAAGCAGGTCCCGGCGAATGTCTCAAGATGTGACGCACACCAGATCGACGGAAAATCTCACTAGCTCTTACTTCAGGTTTGTACAACAAAAAACTTCATTTTACATATGCGATTCGATAGAAGGATCCAGTTTACTCGGCAAGTATAATATTCATTGTTCAACTTGCAAAGAATAATTTTTTTTTCTTATTTTACACGCTTTCTTATATCCAATGCTTTTTTTTGTTTTTAACTTTGGCATGATGTATCGCGTGACATTATATTGATATTTATTTGCTTATTTGTCATTAAGAAGTGATTTGAATAATCATTTTATGTAACTATTAATATGTATTTATGCTAGTGTTGCATATATTAATTCTTTTAGTATCGAATTGGTGCTTGAAACTTTCAAGATACATAATATTTTTTTTTTTTTTTTTTTTTTTTTTTTTTTTGTAATAAACATTACAGCATCGAAATATCAATATGCAAATTTTAGAATTTATTATAAGATTATAATGTATTATCTTTCAATTAGCATAAACTTCGATTTAAAAGCATACGTTTCATTATAATTTTATATCAACGTATACGGCACTTAACCGGCGGATAAAAAAGTAAAAAATTGTAAAAAACTTTTTTTTTTTTTTTTTTTTTTTTTTGTAATAATATGGAATATTACAATAATAATATTTTACAGTAGGTCGTAAGTCATAAAAGAATACTGGATATTTCCTTTCTTTTTATAGGAGTAAGAGCCACAGTGTAGATCATGGGTTCGCTGCGCCATTCGACTTGGATTCACTTCGCAACAAAGTCGAGAGTCGCTTTGAGTCTATCGACAAACTCTCCAGAGGTTAGTGTTACAAAAGTCCATATTGCTGATCCAAACTAATCGATATAATAATAGATATTTTGAAAAAACTGAAAGCATATATTTCTCATTTCTGTGCCTAAAACAAGATGACACAGCATTGCTTTTGCATTCAAAATGTTTGAGATTTAGCTTTGAGAAATTCATTAAATTTATTGGTGAGATATTTTGATTTACCAATACGTATAATCCGGATTTGTTTGAATTTGTAAATAAAATAAATATTGATAGAGAGCATAATTGAAATGAAGATACCCGGACATTCAATATCTAAATTATATTGTAATAAACAATTAATGTTTTCTCGTTTAACCATTAATGAATTAAATTCCTGTTCCGTACATTGTCTTGGAAATTTAATATTCTCGATTGAACTAATGTTTTAGGTAATTTGACAATCGATAATTTTGAATAAGCGAGTGTAATGATAAACCATAAAATAAATAATTAATGGCAAAAAATAATTAAGAATTGTTTAATATGCTAATTTTACAGAAAATGTATTTTTGAAATGACCATTTTAACAATATTGCATAGTCAAATACATATCAATTGAAAATTTGCTAAAAAGTATGAGTATATTGTGAATTTCATAATGAAATCAGTTATACTGCAAAATTTGTTTTCATAAATGCATTTGTTTTAGCCAAAATTCAAATTAAAGTAATAGAACGTTACTTAATAAGTTGATAGAATGTTCGAGTCTTGGGTTAGTTTTTTCAATGAATAGTATTCAGCGATTTATTATCATGATGAAATACAATACTTATAAGCATAACGGAAGTTTTTCATATTTGAATGCGATAAGCCGCATTTGAAGAGAGATAAAATTAAACAATTAATGCTTTCGTACATACGTTTTAACGTTCTCATGCGAGTACCATACGAAGGTTTTTCTCTGTACAGTGTACTTAGTGCAAGACGACAATTTCGCTTAATTGCACAACTCACTGCATTGACTTACTTACTTTAACTGGAGCACAAAAATATTGGATCAGTTTATGATATATAAATATAGTATTATTTCCATATAACAGTGTATCCATTATAATATAATTTGTAAGTTAAAATCGATTATAGATGTAATTACAGTATATAGCGGGAAAAAAATTCTTATTTATAATTAATTCTTGCAATATTGAAATTTAAAAATAATGGATCTTAAATCATATAAATGATTTGAAACGATATTTTTAAGTACTTCAATTAATTATCTAAATTCTTATATAATTTTAAAATCAATTCAAAATTAAATTTTAAATAAATATTTAATTATTCTTAATGAAAATTTTTTTAATTGTTAATTTATATTTGCTATATATTGCATACTCCATGAAATGATATGAATTTCTCTACTTAAATAATTATATTTCTACAGCACAAGGAAATATATATATATATATATATATATAATATCTATGTATATTATTACTATGTGATTATTTTATACTTCGCTTATTATTATCTTGAATTAAATAGTTGCAAAGTTTTTAAATTGTTTAATAATATCACATATTATAAATATACATAAAAGTATCGATGAAAATAAATTAATTACACGATAGTTGATGAAATATTAATAAATGCATGCAAATAATAACATATTATTATCACATAAATGTATAAAAACAATACGTAACTTTCAATATCTTTAATGAAATTATCTAATATTTGGAGCAGAAAAAATTAGAAATAATTTCATTATTTAAACATTTTATCTTAATCTACGTAGAAGGGTCATATTACTAATTCAATAAATTAAACTTTTTTTTATTGACACTTACATTGTGTAAAATCTCATTTATTTGTACTTTATTCACAGATTACATGACCCGTATAATATTAATTAAATCTAATATCTTTTTTTTCACAATTGACGTTTCAGTAATTTTTAAACATTAATATTTTGATAGATTTACGATAGATTTTTATATAATTTTGGTATTCACGAGGAATATTTATTAATATGTTACTTTATATATTTACATATTCAATTTATTTATCGAACGTCTTGAGACAACGAACATACAAGTTCTTAAGCATTAAAATGAAATTTTCATAAATTTTTTCCTTTATATAATAGTGCATTGAATTTTATGAAAATTTCAAACAGCCTTGAAATATTTTGTACTTAATGCTTCAATGTGTTGATGCGTTAAAAACTAACGTTTAGTGCAACGTTCAATATAAAGGCTATTTATAGTGAATTTCTTAATGTATATAAAATTTTACAAGCTAATGAATTACTAAATATTCATTGATGGAAATGTAACCTTTTAGCATCCATTGTATTATTTAAAGATCAGCGCGCCGAACATGTGACTTAATAAATCGAAATATCTGTGACATATAGAAGATAATGTGTTAAAGAAATATTTATTCACCTATCGCTGTTTTTAATAAGAGTCGATTTTGTTCGAAAAGTGAGTTCGTGAATAGCTAGGCGACCTAAGTTTATTCTCTTGTTATGGAGTTCAACGACTTTGAGAAGACGAGAGAATTGATTTTCTAACAGGAACCACCTCTATTGTTTTCTGCGTCTTTGAACAAATATTGAACTGTAAAGTCGGAACAAAAGATGCAAATACGAAAAGAGATTTTTCGATGTTAGTCTATTATTGTCATTCCTATTGCCAACACGGAGACCAGCCTGCAACAAATTGCATTTATTCTACGTCTAATTTCATTTAACAATACTACACACACACACACACACACACACACACACACACATATATATATATATATATATATATATATATATATAGCTAAATTCTATTAAAAAGAATTTAAATTAATTTTATTTTCCGATTTCTTAAATGCTTGTAATTTATGAATTTGAAAAATTAAAGTTTATTTAAACTTAACGAATAAAGCGAATTTACAAATCACTGTAATATAATGGAATGCACGTCACACTTACTATAAATATTCTATCAAGTTTTGTATTTTTAAACAGAACATTGAGATAAATTATGATGTAAATGTAAAACTATTTTATCGAATAACATAATCGTGCAAAGAATCAACAATATTTTTTGTATGAATAAGCACGCAAATATTAATTTTTGTACTTTGCTCCTGGAGTTGGCAGTTTTAGTGCTCATTAGTGCATTATCATAAAAATTATTTATTCAATTTTTGCTTAGTAGATAATATTTTATCACATAATCGAATCACTACTCATTGCGTAGGCGCAAAAGTTTGTCGTAATTTGACCAGTTAAATTTTATCCAATTTTTAGTAAAAATTTGTTATGCCGCGCCAATTACATAATATTAATCAATATTAACAATGATAAAATATAAAAATCATATTCTAAAGTTATGTAATATATTGATTATAATAATATATATTAATGCAATATATATATTTGAAGATTATTCTAATAAGTTGACAATTGTCCAAATACTTTTGAATAGTTTCTCCAAGAATTTCTCCAATCATTCAAGTTGTTCTATACCGGCGAGTTTCAATAAGCGTCAGTATTTTATTGTCTTTATCTTTGACAGATCGTGCAGAACTTGGTGCATCACTAAAATTAAAATTGCTTTGAGAAGACTTTTGGAACCGCTTATGACGCAAAATTTCTAACGATATTCTTAGTGTTTAAATCATATTTCCTCGTCTTTTGTATTTAAGAATATAGCTCTTATACATTGAAAAGTCAAATAACAATCCAGTATATCAGAAATGTTTCTTTTTCTTTCTTTTTTTTTTTTTTTATTTTAATTCTCAAGAAAATTACAAAAAATAAAACAACCCTAACCATGCATAAGGTATGTAAGTATGTATTACATATAATTTCATGCATTTCACATATAATGTAATTGATATTGCGACTTTGCGCGATTCAATGTCATGTAAAGCGGAGCTTTCGAAGAATATTAATAAGCCAAGATTTGACTTTTTTCCTACATTCATCGGAATAATATTGAATTTTAAACTGAAAAACAGCGCTCGGAAGCTTAGTGAGCCACGTATCGCGCATTTACGATTATGTACATGTGTATGCGTAGTGAAACGGAACCGAAATGCAATGCCGTAGGCAGGATCCGCATTCTAGTAATTGTGGCTTGTATTTCGAGAGATCTTTGGAAATGTAGGAAATGTAAGTGAAGTAAATATAGGAATTGTCAGTGAGATTTCCCACGTGGAAATGCACGCCGCGTGCATATACGTACATGGACGGCTGCCTTCTGACTACCGCGATAATCCTTGCGTTTAATAATATACCGAACAAAGATACTGCATATCCTTGTTTTTTTTTTTTTTTTTTTTTTTATATATAAATATATGAATACGCGCGAATAACTGGTCGTGGTTACGCTATTTGCAATTGCGATTGCTTATAAATTGACGAATGCGTTGCAAACGATTTAAATGCTTAAAAAAAGAATTACGCGCATTAAAAATAAATACTTCATTGGTTATTTATTAGCGATAAATAAAAGTCAGTAATGGCCTATTTGAATCCACAAAATGTAATGAATAATCTTCACAAATAATAGATTGAATACGAGATCCTATGATTCTATGATTGCATTATATTTACAAAGTAGCAGAGCAATTATTGGCGAATATACTTTTGGCGTATATACGACTGATAGTAATTAAGGTCTCGTGAGTTATTTAACCGTGTGTAATTTCAAAATCGAAATTATAATAAAATATTACTTTTTGATTATCGTGAATCAAAGATAAAAGTCATTTTATTTCTCTGTTGACACAATACTAACTCTCGGCATTTCGTTTCAGGCTGATTTCATATAATTGATTCTTTTCAGTGGGTCCGGATACTTCCGAGAGCATTTGCTCGCTCTTATTAAACAAATGAATGTGGGGTAGGGGTTGTAGGGCGATGGGGGATGGGGAGGGTGGGGGGGGGGCAGAGAAAGTCATTAGAAATTTGTCAGGACAGGAAAAAATCGCGCGAATGAGAAAAGTAAAGTAAGGACGAACCGCTTAATCGAAGATCCACT